CCCCCCCAGGACCTTCCCTACCCCCCTCCCTTCCCCCTTGCTCCACTCCTCCATGGCCTCTTCTCCAATAACCTCTCTCCTTTCAGATGGGAAGCTCCAATGGGAGGAGGAGGCCTGTATCAACCGGCTCAAGAGCAACGAGGTGAGAAAATCCCAGAGCGGATCCACCCTGGGGGAACAGGGTGGGGGACAGGGGAAGTCCTGGAGCTGATCACCCATGTGGAAGCGGGGTGGGGAATGGGGAAAATCCTGGAGTGGATCGACCCTGGGGGAGTGGAGTGGGGGTGCAGTAAATCCAGGAGTGGATCGACCCTGGATCTGGATTCCTGGAACAGATTCCAAATTCCAGCCCCACCCAGGATGAGGGAATTTTGATGCCCCCCCTCACCCGAATTCCCTTCCCCCCCCCCCTCCAGACCACGCTGACCCTCACAGTCCCAGAATACAGCAACCCACAGGTGGCCCGGCCTGTCCAAGTCTATTTCTACGTCTCCAATGGGCGGCGGAAACGGAGCCCAACGCAGACCTTTAAATACCTGCCTGGTGAGTGGGGCGGGGGGAGGAGTCGTGTAAATGGGGAGAGGGGCACGAGATGGGGGAGGAGGAAGGAGAAGAGGTTGGGGAGGCAGCGATTGGGGGCGTGATTCCCACCTGGCCTCATGGTTAGTGGGGGGTGGGGGGAGGGGCAAAGATGGCAAATAGACAAGGAGCAGGAGGCAGAGAGCAGGAGAAGAGGGGAGGGATGCTGTTTGATGGGAAGGATTTGGGGCAGTTCCCTCCCCCCACAGTCTCTGACTCTCTCTCTCTCTCCCTCCCTCTCCCCCTCCCCCCCGTCCCCACAGTGATCTTCAAGGAGGAGCCACCCCCCTCCTCCCCACTCCGCAGCTTCCCCCCTGGCCCCTCCTCCCCAGTGCCCCCTTGCAGTCCCCCCTATCCCCCCGAGGGCCCTGGGGACATGGACATTTCTCCCAGTCGCCCTCACTTCCCCTGCTACCGTGATGACTCCCCCTACAGGGCTGGCTACTCTCCCTCCCCTGCGGCCTTTGGGAGCCCCTCCCCATACCCTGATGGGCCCCCACTGCTCCCTTTGACACCCCCTTATCACCGCTGCCTGGCCACTGAGCCCTCCCACCACTACCCACACACGGAGCAGTATGGGGGGGCTGGGCTGACAGTGCCCTCCCACTTCCATCCGTTGGGCTACCGGCCCCCACACTTCCAAGCCTCTGCCCAGCTCACCCCCCCACCACTGTCAGAGGGAGCCGGGCCCCCCAACTGGGGGGATCCAGAGTCGGGGGAGACTGAGGAGGTGGAGAAACCCAGGGGCAGCGGATACCGGGCGGCTTTCCGTGACAGCCTGCCTGTCCAGGGGATCACGCTGGAGGAAGGTAACGGGACTTTTCCCCTCTAGGGGGCGCTGGCTCCCACCCGGCTCTAAAGCTGAATGACTGAATTATAGAATACCAGGGTTGGAAGGGACCTCAGGAGGTCATCTAGTCCAACCCCCTGCTCCGAGCAGGACAAATCCCCAATTTTTGCCCTGATCCCAAATGGCCCCCTCAACGATTGAACTCACAACCCCGGGTTTAGCAGGCCAATGCTCAAACCACTGAGCTATCCCTCCCCTGGCTTGATCACAGGATGTAGAATGGGAATCAGGGTCTTTCCCCTCTATGGGGCGCTGGCCCCGATCCTACCCCAGGGCGAGGGACAGCCTGGCTCATGGGCTAGGGAATGGGACACGGGGCCTTTCCCCTCCAGGGTGCACTGGCTCTGATCCAGCCCCAGGGCGAGGGTCTGTCTGGCTCAGGGTCTGTCTGGCCCTCACTCTGGTTTCCCCTCTCTTTTCTCCTAGTGACTGAGATCATTGGCCGGGACCTGAGTGACTTCCCGGAGCCGCTCTGTGAGGGCAGAGGGAGCTGAGACCCTGGCTGCTCCTGGGTCCTTCCTGGCCTATCCAAGCTCTGTCCATCTCATTTCTGTTCATCCATCTGTCCAAACTCTCTGTCCGTCCGTCTGTCTGTCTGTCCAAGCTCTATGTCCATCAGTCACACCTCCAATCATCCATCCATCCAAGTTCTCTGTCCGTCTGTCCAAGCTCTCTGTCCGTCGATCACAGCTCCGTCCATCCATCCTAGCTCTCTGACCGCCTGTCCTAGTTCTCTTTCTTTCTACATCCAGGAAGGATGACTCTGAAGTCCCCACTCCTACCCCCTGGTCTCCTCCCCCAAATGCCCCTACCATCTGGGCTTCACAGCATATGCCAGATGCAGGGTGAGGGGGCCCCCGGCCTATAACACCCCCGTTCTCCGCCTCCCTCCTGGAGCTATTTTCCTATCAGGCAAAAATACCCAACCAGGGGAAGGGGGATATTCCTATCCCCTTTGTGTGAGCCCAGCCCCATCAATTCAGCAATGGGGGTGGGGGGCAGATGTGGCTAATGGTGGGGAAGTGGGGGGGAGTTTGAGCCATCAGATTTTGCAGGGTATACGAAACACACACACACACACCCCATGGGGTAAAGTAACTCTCCAATAGAGTGGGGGAGGAGGTTCCACCCCATGGTGTCACATGGAAGCCCCTTCCCTAAATTTCCCTCCCCCACCCCATGGGGACAAGAAGGCATTAATGACTACAGTGATATTGTTGGGGGGCACGGGGAGAGGGGTATCTGTGATAATATCCAGTTTTATACCATTTATTTTTTCTCCTTTTCTTTGAATCTTGGTTTGTTTTGTAATGAAATGAATTGATTAAAAAAACAACAGCTCAATACAATAAAAGCGTGTCTGATTCGGGGGGGGGCGGGAGTAAAGGCACAGGCTGGGCAAGTGGGGATGGGAGGGAGAGGGAAAGGGGGGAAGGGGGATGGAAGGTGGAGTGGGGTGACAATACTGCCCCTAGTGGCCATTATACAGTACAGCCGCCCCTTCCCCGCCCCCACCCTCTGCTGCCCCCTAGTGCCCCTTATACAGTACAGCCGCCCCTTCCCCGCCCCCACCCTCTGCTGCCCCCTAGTGCCCCTTATACAGTACAGCCGCCCCTTCCCCGCCCCCACCCTCTGCTGCCCCCTAGTGCCCCTTATACAGTACAGCCGCCCCTTCCCCATCCCCACCCTCTGCTGCCCCCTAGTGCCCCTTATACAGTACAGCCGCCCCTTCCCCGCCCCCACCCTCTGCTGCCCCCTAGTGCCCCTTATACAGTACAGCCGCCCCTTCCCCGCCCCCACCCTCTGCTGCCCCCTAGTGCCCCTTATACAGTACAGCCGCCCCTTCCCCGCCCCCACCCTCTGCTGCCCCCTAGTGCCCCTTATACAGTACAGCCGCCCCTTCCCCATCCCCACCCTCTGCTGCCCCAGTGCCCATTATACGGAATAACAGTCACGGGATAATTACTGCTGGCCTGTTTGGGGTTAGCTGCTGTGGGTTGCTCTGGACGCGGGGCGGTGCGATACAGGAGCAGAGAGACCCTCCTGGCGCCTGGTGGAAGAAGTAATTTATCACCGACACACGACGACGTGTGTGCAAGGGTGACAGGGGCTCAGGGTCTGAGCAGGGCTCCTGGCTGATCTGTCTGGGTGGGTGACTAATGTGTGCAACTAGGATCCCAGACTGGGAACAGAGTCGGGGGGCAGGACAAATGGGGTGGGGGCAAGTTAGAAGGAAGGACCGGACACAGGGAGAAGGAAAGAATATCAATTGATTGATCAAATTCGTCTCTCTGCACCCATGCACAGCACATTTATCTGCCTGTGTCCCTACACACCTTCCTTCCCTCCCTCCCAATCTCTGCCTGTCTGTCCCTACACACCTTCCCTCCCTCCCAATCTCGGCCGGTGTGTCCCTACACACCTTCCCTCCCTCCCAATCTCTACCTGTCTGTCCCTACACACCTTCCCTCCCTCCCAATCTCTACCTGTGTGTCCCTACACACCTTCCCTCCCTCCCAATCTCGGCCGGTGTGTCCCTACACACCTTCCCTTCTTCCCTCCCTCCCAATCTCTACCTGTCTGTCCCTACACACCTTCCCTCCCTCCCAATCTCTACCTGTGTGTCCCTACACACCTTCCCTCCCTCCCAATCTCTGCCTGTGTGTCCCAACACACCTTCCCTCCCTCCCAATCTCTGCCTGTCTGTCCCTACACACCTTCCCTCCCTCCCAATCTCTACCTGTGTGTCCCTACACACCTTCCCTCCCTCCCAATCTCTGCCTGTGTGTCCCAACACACCTTCCCTCCCTCCCAATCTCTGCCTGTCTGTCCCTACACACCTTCCCTTCTTCCCTCCCTCCCAATCTCTGCCTGTCTGTCCCTACACACCTTCCCTCCCTCCCAATCTCGGCCGGTGTGTCCCTACACACCTTCCTTCCCTCCCTCCCAATCACTACCTGTGTGTCCCTACACACCTTCCCTTCTTCCCTCCCTCCCAATCTCTACCTGTCTGTCCCTACACACCTTCCCTCCCTCCCAATCTCTACCTGTGTGTCCCAACACACCTTCCCTCCCTCCCAATCTCTACCTGTCTGTCCCTACACACCTTCCCTCCCTCCCAATCTCTACCTGTCTGTCCCTACACACCTTCCCTCCCTCCCAATCTCTGCCTGTGTGTCCCTACACACCTTCCCTTCTTCCCTCCCTCCCAATCTCTGCCTGTCTGTCCCTACACACCTTCCCTCCCTCCCAATCTCTACCTGTGTGTCCCTACACACCTTCCCTCCCTCCCAATCTCGGCCGGTGTGTCCCTACACACCTTCCTTCCCTCCCTCCCAATCACTACCTGTGTGTCCCTACACACCTTCCCTTCTTCCCTCCCTCCCAATCTCTACCTGTCTGTCCCTACACACCTTCCCTCCCTCCCAATCTCTACCTGTGTGTCCCTACACACCTTCCCTCCCTCCCAATCTCTCTCCTAGGCTTTTCTTCCCCTCCCGCAGCGCTGCCAGCCCCGCCGCAGGCGGGGGAGGGGAGGGGACGGGCCGGGGGGGGGGCAAGGGGCGGTGTGGGAGGCCCGAGGGGGAAGTGACGAGCTCGCAGGCGAAGGGAAACGCGCCGCGGCTGGAGGCGGAAGCTCGGAGCGGTGCTGGGGGCTGCAGGTCTGAGGACAGGGGCGCGAGTCCCCCCGTGCAGGCACCGGGAATGAAGGGAGGGGAGAGGTCCAGTGAATGCGGGGCAGGGCTGGGCTAGCAGGGGCTGCGGGTCGGGAGGGAGGGGCACCGGCAGGGCGGGGGGGTCCCGGGGCTGGGTATGGGGGGGCTGCGGGTCGGGAGGGAGGGCACCGGCAGGGCGGGGGGTCCCGGGGCTGGGCATGGGGGGGCTGCGGGTCGGGAGGGAGGGGCACCGGCAGGGCGGGGGGGTCCCCGGGCTGGGCATGGGGGGGCTGCGGGTCGGGACGGAGGGGCACCGGCAGGGGGGGGGGGTCCCGGGCTGGGCATGGGGGGGCTGCGGGTCGGGATGGAGGGGCACCAGCAGGGCGGGGGGGGTCCCGGGCTGGGCATGGGGGGGCTGCGGGTCGGGATGGAGGGGCACCAGCAGGGCGGGGGGGGTCCCGGGCTGGGCATGGGGGGGCTGCGGGTCGGGATGGAGGGGCACCAGCAGGGCGGGGGGGGTCCCGGGCTGGGCATGGGGGGGCTGCGGGTCGGGATGGAGGGGCGTTCTCTCACGCTGTCCCAGCGCAGGGATGGCCGAGTGGGTGGAGTTCCGGGAGCGGATCCCCCGGGAGTGCCTGGAGGGGATGCAGTTCATCGCCGCCGGTGGGTTCGGCACCATCTACCGGGCTCAGCACCGTGACTGGCGCATCCCCATTGCCGTGAAGAAACTGAGCCGGTAAGAGGGGTGGGGCGCTCTCTATCTCTCTCTAGCCTTTTTTCCTTCACTCTCTTTCTCTTTTTTCTCTTCCTTCCTGTGCTTCTTTTTACTTTTCCCCATCCCCTCTCCCCTTCATTCCCCCTTCTCTCCTGTTCCTTTCACCATGTTTCTTTGTCCATCTCTCCTTCACCCTTCTGTCCATTCCTCTCTTATTGTCCTTCCATCTCTCCATTCCCTCTTTCTATCCTTCCATACCTCCCTATTCCTCTTCCCTGCATGGAGTGGAGCCCATTATCTCTTCCTATCCTTCCATCTCTATTATCTCCCTCTCTCCACTATCTCTGTCCTTCCATACCTCCATTTCCTCCTGCCCTCTGTAGTCTCTGTCCCTCCGCTCTCCCATTCCCTCCTCCCATCTCTCCATTTTCTTCTGTTTCTCCTTCTTTCTTTCTTTTCACTTCCTCCCTCCTTCCTCCACTCTCAACTTTCCCCATCCTTCGTTCATCTCTCCACCCCCCCACCCACCCCGCAGTGATACCTGCAGCCGTGAAGAGCTCCTGGAAGAAGCCCGGGCCATGGACAAAGCTCGCTTCATCTACATCCTGCGGCTCTTCGGCCTCTATGAGGAGGAAGAGGAGGGCTGGGACTGTGGCCCCCGGCTGGGCATCGTCATGGAGTACATGGAGAATGGCAGCCTGGCCAGTTTGCTGGAGAGAGTCCAGCCAGTCCCCTGGTCCCTGCGCTTCCGCCTCCTCCACCAGGTGGCGCTGGGCATGAATTACCTGCATGGGCTTCACCCACCATTACTGCACCTGGACCTCAAACCCAGCAATGTCCTGTTGAATTTGGAGCTGCACGTCCGGGTGAGAAAACCCCTCCCCTCCTCATCAGCCAATCCTGGGTCAGAGCCGGCAACCCCTACAAGGGAAAGGCCCTGCGTCCCATTCCCCACCCCACTGATCCAGCCACTCCCTTGCCCTAGGGCTGCGTAGCAGCTAGCGCCCCCTAGAGGAGAAAGGCCATGTGTCCCATTCCCTGCCCCCCAGCTATGCTTTTTTCTCTTCCCCACCAGTTGGCAGACTTTGGACTATCGAAGTTCAAGCGACTGACGACCAAGCAGGGAACGGACAGATCCAGGGATGAGGATGACTATGGGGGTACCCTGGAGTACATGCCCCCCGAATCCCTCATAGACATCAACTACAGGCCAACGCCAGCCACAGACATATACAGGTAAAGGAACCCCAATGCCCCAGTGAGGCACTGGGGGTGCTGTGCTGCAGGGAACAAGGCAGGAGGTTCAGTAGGGGGTGCTCTCCCCTTTCAGTCAGTCCTGACCACAAAGACCCATAGCGACATTAGGGGGCGCTGTGCTGCAGGGAGCTGTGTAGGGCACGCTCTCCCATCCCATGATCCCAACCTGCCTCCTCTTTCGCCTCTGCAGTTATGCCATCCTCACCTGGTCCGTGTTAACCGGTCAACAGCCTTACCCAAGTGAGTCCTATTCCTGTCTTTTAACTATACCTTTCTTTTGAGCCAAGCTTGTCTTGGGATTCAGGGGCTACTCAGGGTTTCCTGGGAATAGAAACAAAACAAACACCACCTCTGAACTGAAGGGGAATCCCTTCTATCCCAGCAGCACAGGATTTACGGTTCATACAGGTGCAGTTTTCAATCTGTCCACTAGAGGTCAGTGAGCTGTGATAGCCATAAACCCTGTGTTGGTATAACCCATAAACCCTGTATCAGTGGGATAAAAAGAGAGGAGAAGTGTGAAAAAGGAAGGGTAGTTGGCTAGAGACATAGCTGGATAGAAGGATAGTTTATTAGAACGGAAGGGATGGGGGGAGAATATGGGGGTGGACAGACAGGACTGAAGTTGGATGGGTAGGTGAATAATAGGGTTAGTGGGAAAATGATATTTTCCATCAAAGAATTTCAAAAGAAATTATCATTAATGTGGAGGGCACTCCCCTTGCAGGCAGTGCTGGCCCCACTACCCACAGTGTGCCACCTGGGGAATCCGTGGTATAGGGAGCAGGGCAGGAGGCTCAGTAGGGGGGGCTGTTCCCTCAAAGTCTGGTGTTCAATTCTGTTTTCTATCCTGAGTTCCGGGAGGGCAGGGGGGCCCAGTGGTTAAAGCAGGGGGGTGCTGGGGGCAGGACTCCTGGGTTCTATCCCCAGTTCAGGGAAGGGAACGGGGCCTAGAGGGTTAGAGCAGGGGTGTTGGGAGCCAGGACTCCTGGATTCTATCCCCAGCTCTGGGAGAGGAGTGGAGCAAGGGGGGATGGGACCCAGGACTCCTGGGTTCTATCCACAGCTAAACTGTGCGGCCTGGGGCAAATTACTTCAGCCATCTATTGCCTCAGTTTCCCCAGCCATGAAACGGGATTTAATTGGTCTCTCTTGGCTGTAAAATCTTTGCGACAGGGACTACCTCTTACAGGCTCCTTATAAAGAGTGGGGGAAGAGGCCCAGTTATGCCCATTTGAAAATCTCTGCCCACCTCTGGGAGTTCAAATCCCAGAGGCTCTGAGGGGGTGTGGCTAGGGGATCTCAGTGGCGAGATGCTTTACGAAACATGGCTGGGAGCTCAGTGACATTTAGGCACCTGAAATCAAAGGCGATTCAGGGTAATTCCCTTAAGCTCCTGGTAAATTCCAGCTGACCTACCCCACTCCTGACCCCTGTAGTAAATAATCATTAGGGCTAAGTTTTTGTCACGGATATTTTTATTAAAAGTCAGGGACAGGTCAATAATAAACAAATATTCCCAGCAGCCCATGACCTGTCCCTGACTTTCACTAAAAATATCCCTGACAAAAGGGTAGGTGGATTCAGCACCCATGGCTGCTGGGGCTCCTGGGTCCCCCACCGATGTGGTGCATGGGAGCTTCGGTGTCCCTCTGCCGCGGGGCTGGGCTGCTGCGGGGTCCCCTCGCCCTGCGCAGCTGGTAGCTGCCGGGTCCTCAAGCTGTGGCCACCGTGGCTGCAGCTGGGCAGCTGCGTGGGGTCCCCCCGCCGCCCGTGGCGTCTGGGCAGCTGCAGGGTCCACCAGCCCTCTGCCATGGCTGGGCAGCTGCGGGGTCCCCGCACCAGGTTGGGGGCTGGGAGCTGCGAGGGCGGAGCTGGCTGGGAGCTCCAACCTGAGGGCAAAAAATGTTACGGAGGTCAATGGAAGTCTCAGATTCGGTGACACTATTGTAGCCTTAATAATCATGTCTCTGACTCACCACAGGGGGGCAGTGTCTGTGACAGCTGTTATGTCTCTGACTCACCACAGGGGGGCAGTGTCTGTGACAGCTGTTATGTCTCTGACTCACCACTGGGGGGCAGTGTTTATGTATGACCCTTATGTTCCCCTTGTCTTCGCGGTCCAGATCTCCTCCCAAAATGCATGAGCTCCCTGCTCCGAATGCACATCCCCCGGGGCCAGAGACCTGACCTGGAGGAGCTGGAGGAGGTCACAGGAGTGGAGGGCCTGGAGGACATGAAAGAGTTAATGAAGAGATGTTGGCACAATGACAGCTGGGAAAGACCCACGTTTAAAGGTAAAGTCCATTCCCGTGCGGTCAGTGCTGATGGGGGCACTGTGCTGCAGGGGGTGGCTCGGGGCTCAGTACGGGGTACCAGGCTGCAGGGAGTGGGTCAGGGGCTCAAGAGGGGGCGCTCTCCCCTGGCAGTCTGTGCTGGCCCCAATGCCCCACCATTAGGGGGTGTCATACTGCAGTGGAATCCCTCACCCCTCCTGTCTTTCTCCTGCAGACTGCAGCAACAAGACAGAGAAGATTTTCTCCTGCCACAAGTCCCGGATCGTGCCGGCTGTGCGTCAGGTCCAGGATGTGCTGGTGAGGCGCAGCCGGCTGTGGTTCTGAGTCCATCCTCTGCATCACCACAGCTGGCCACGAGGTGGCAGCACCATCCTAGCAGAATATGACGTCCAGGGCTTAAATAGCCCCAATTCCAAGCCAGACCCAGGGGCTGAGGATAAATCTCCCATCTCCCAACACATGATTTAAGTAATTCAATCCCTGATATTCTCAGCACCTGCCACAAGGGGGTGGTGCTGCACCAGAAGAGAAATCAGACTATCTCACTATCTCCATACACATCTGTCTGCCTGTCTAATCCTATCTATCCCTCATACACCCCATCATCCATCCATCCATCTAGATAGATAGATAGATAGATGGGTGTGTATGGGGATATCTATAAATGGATGGATGAATGGATGTGCCTGGAGATAGATGGATGGATGGATGATGGAGTGTTTGGGGGATAGATAGATTAGACAGACAGGCAGATGGGTGTATATGGGGATAGATAGATATCCCCATACGCACCCATCTATCTATGTATCCATCTATCCCCATACGCACCCATCTATCTATGTATCCATCTATCCCCATACGCACCCATCTGTCTGTCTATCCAGTCCTGACCCCAAAATTGTCACCCCAGATGATGATGGCCAGTTCTCCCAGCTATGAGTCCAGACCATCAGTAAGTGTCCCTACACCCGCTGCGGCTGAGAGCTCCCATCTCCATGCCTCTCCTCCATCTTCCCTTGGGGTCTCAGAGAAATTCCACACACTTCGCTATGAGGATCATCCATCCAGAGAAAACGGTAAGTGGGGTTTCCGTCCCCCTTCCAAACTATCTGCATCAGGCACCAGCTGGTGAAATTCTGGGTATCAAGGGAGTCTACTCTGGTGTCATGACAGGAAATCCCACCTCCAAGATAAAAGGGCAGGAATTCCCGCCTCCAACAGGTCCATAGATGGACTTCCACATCGGCTATGACTGTGTGAGAATTCCCACCTCTGATGTGACAGAGCAGGAAGTCCCAGCTCAAGAGTGGCAACCAGAAGTCCTGTCTCTGATGTGGCATGAGGCAACATAGGAAGTCCTGCCCAACAAGGTGGCTGTGGGGAAGATTCACCTCCAGTGTGGCAAGGCAGGAAGTGTTGCTTCCTGTGTCACAGGACAGGAAGTTCCACCCAAAATGGTGGCATTAGGGGAAATCCTGCCTCCCGAGTTACTGGGCAGGAAGTTGTGTTTCCAGTGTAACAGGATAGGCTTTGACATGCTAAATGGTGACAATGGAGAAAGTCCCGCCTCCAGAGTGACATGACAGAAAATCCTGCCTCCAAGGTAGCAGGACAGGAAGTGCCAACACAAGAAGTCCTGCCTCTAGAATGTCAACACAGGAAGTCCCACCCAAAACAGGTGGCAATAGAGGAAATTCCATTCCCAGAGTGCCAATACAGGAAGTCCCGCCTCCAGAGTGGTGCGACTTCCTGAGCTGGCTGTTGCGGCTAATTTCCCTGCCTGAGGGTCTGGGATGTTTGCAGAAGGGGAGAGGGGCGCACGGGCTCCCGTAAGCTGACCCGGAGGGGTGTTTTATATCCCTCAGAAGCTGTGCCCAGGAGAAGCATGAGGGAGACGGAGCATCAGCAAGAACCTGGTACCCCTCAGCCCTGCAGTGTCAGCATGGGTCCCAGGCAGGTAAATGTCTGCCATCGCTCCCTCCCTGGGGTGGGCTCAGCAAGGAGTGCCCGTGTTCTCCTTTCGCAGTCAGTGCTGGCACCCAGCGCCCAAGGGTGGCATCAGGGGGCACAGTGCCGCAGGGAGCCATGTGGGGGCACCACCCCTTGCAGTCAGTGCTAGTCCTAATGCCCAGGGCTGGCTACACCTCAACACTGGGTGAGCAATCCCCAGGCAGGGCTGCTCTGTGGCTGTTATGCAGCCGGTGCACCCCACCCCAGAGGGGCTGCATCTCAGTGCCAGGTGAGGGGTTCCCATAGAACCAGCCCCTGTACCCCTCCGCACAGGGGCCCCATCTCTGCACTGGGCGAGGGGTTCCCATATGAACAGCTCCCATGCCCCACCCCAGAAGGGCTGCGTCTCAGTGCCGGGCAAGGGGTCCCTGTAATTTATATCTGTAGGGATCTAGTGAGACGTAGCATGCAGGATCCATGTGATTCTCTCTTCTCTTTCAAGGGAGCAGAAGGACCCAATAATGGAGAATTTGGCTCCCCTAAGACAATCTCATCACAGTTGAGACCCCCAGGTACCATGGGGCAGATCCAGGGAGAGGGGAGGCCGGGCTGGAGGACTGAGGGGGCAATCCAGGAGGAGGGGGTCAGGCCTAAGATGGGATGTTACCCCCCCCCATTGCAGTACCCTCATTTCACTGCGAAGTGGCAGCTTTTCACTACCATTAATACAGGATGAGGGACAGAGACCAATACTAAGAAACTCCCCTTTAAAAGCCCACTTGAAGGAAAAGTGTGCATGACATTTGGCATCTGGCAGTGAGAAACTTCACCCTTAAAGGGAAAGTTCCACAGTGCGGAATGGGTCCCTGTGTTTGACAATGAGAAACTCCCCTTTAAGAGAAAGTAAAAGGAAAAGTGTTCATGAGGACCAAAGTCTGGCAGTGAAGAACTCTGCTCTTAAAGGGGAAGTTTTTATGAGGAACCAACTCCGGCAGAGAGAAACTCCTCCCTTAAAGAGAAAGTGTTCACAAGGGCAGTGAACAAGTGGGCGTGCATCAGGGATGGCTAAGAGGATGCATCTTGGTGGGGATAGAGTCTGGCAGTGAAAAATCCCAACCTTAAAGGGGAAGTGCTCGTGAACCCTAATTTTTCTTTCCTACCAGACAATGAGCCGAGGCCCTTCTTTTCCATCCAGTCCCAACCACCTCTCCCCACCCAGGGGCCGGAGCAACCCATGTTCTCATTCCAGCAACCGGTGAGGGGGTGCCCCCACCCGGGGAAGGGGGAGAGGTTAGGGATGCAGGGCAATAGAGAGAAGAGGGGGATGGGAATATAGGGGATTATGGGATCAGGATGGGAGCCGGGAGGTTGGGGTGGAGCTGAGGTGGTGCTGGAAGGGAATGAGGGAGGGGGATCTACAGATGGGGAGAGCAGGGGAGGGGATGTAAGAGGATGGTGTGGGGGGGAGGGAGCTATGGGCAGATGAAGGGGAGGAGGAGGGGTATAAGGGATGGGAACTGTGGAATGGAAAGAATGGATCATGGGGATAATGGCACAGAGGGAAAGAGCAGGGTCTTTGTTCCCGTCCCAGCTGACTAACCCATTCCCCTCCCCCATCTGTCTTTCAGTCTCAGCCACCTGCCTATGGGTTCTCAGGTGAGCCCCTGCACTCGGGACAGCGGCAATGTACTTGGCTGGCCCCCAGGGGGAACCTGCTCCCTCATAAATGAGCACTAAGGCTCTGGTGGCCCCAGATATTTGGGGTAGGGGTGGGGGTCCCTTCTATTTGTTGTCTTTGGTTTTAAGCCTCTGAGAGAGTGAAAGAGAGAATACATCCGTCCATCCTTCCCCATACACACACACACATCGATCCATCTGATCCATCCGTCCCCATCCACACCCATCCATCTGTGCATCTATCCATCCGTCCCCATCCACACTCATCCATCCATTTGTGCATCCATCCATCCCCTTACACATCCATCCGTGCATCCATCCATCTTATCTGTCCATCCATCCTTCCCCATACACGTCCATCCATCCATCTCATCTGACTATCTATCCTTATGTGCACCCTCTGTCTCTACATATCCACCCCCATACGCCCCCCTCTTCTCTCTCCACACAAATGCTTTTCTTTCTTTCTTACCCTTCACTTTATTGTGTCTCCCTCTCTCCCACAGGTAGCTGCATACATATCATTGGTCCTTGCTCAGGAATACAGATTGGCCACAACAACAGCATGAAAGTGAACAAGGTGCAAGTAGAGAAGAGGAGGAAGAAATAATGGCTCCTTCATCTCTGATCTCTAGATATGTGTGTGGAGCACCCCAGCCCTCCCTGCCCCCAGCAGAGGACCCCCTCCCCCCGGTACGCACCACTTCCCTCTGCAGGGGCACTGTGAAACTCGGCCCCACACCGTCCTCTTCCCCATTCCCAGCTCCCCACCCCCCCTTGCAGTGGGGAGCAGGGGGGATTACAGCCCTGGGAGCTGGAATCTCTGGCCACGGAGGACTTTTGTAGCTGCTGCATTAAAGCAACAATGAGACTAAAACAAGCCCAGCTTTGGGATGAGTCGTCTGGTTTCTGAGAGTCGTGAGTGGAGGAAGGAAGGCAGCTGGATGATGCCAGCCCAGCAGTGACTGACTTTGCCCAGCCCAGCCTGTCCTCTGGAGATCTCAGAGTGCCTGTGGGACAGATGCTCTCTGCTGTCGAAGGCCCAGGCGTGGCCGCCAAACAGAACCATCCTGGAAATGGAGAGTGAAATCTAGAGCTGGGCAAAATGATGTACCTGTGGAAAAGGCAGTTTACACCAAATTGAAATTTTCCACAGAAAAATTTTGATTTTGCCATAAATTTTTAATTTTCCATCGGGAAAATTAAAATGGAGTATTTAATCTCGGGTCTGTTCCACCCAAATCAGAATATTTCATTTTTTAAAAAATGATCTGAAACATTTCCTTTGGAATCAGCTCAACAAAATGTTAAACTGCTTTTTCCTACCTGTGCATTGGTTTATGGGAGTTGTAGTTCGAGTGTCAATTCTCTCCTCTGGACTTGGCTCCCTGAAGGGCTACATCTCCTGTCACAGGTTTCAGAGGAGCAGCCGTCTTAGTCTGTATTTGCAAAAAGGAAAGGAGGACTTGTGGCACCTTAGAGACTAACCAATTTATTTGAGCATGAGCTTTCGTGAGCTACAGCTCACTTCATCGGATGCATTCAGTGGAAAATACAGTAGGGAGATTTATATCCATAGAGAACATGAAACAATGGGTGTTACCATACAGACTGTAACGAGAGTGATCACTTAAGATGAGCTAATACCAGTAGAAGAGCGGGGCGGGGGGGAGTTTTGTAGTGATAATCAAGGTGGGCCATTTCCAGCAGTTGACAAGAACGTCTAAGGAACAGTGGGGGGGGAATAAACATGGGAAATAGTTGGTTTTTTTTTTCTCCTATAACGCAACTTGGATTTGCTTCTGATTGAGCTGTTTGGAGCACCATGGGAATCACAAGACTCAGTGCATTGTGGGAGATGGCGTCCAGGCAGGGACTACAGAAGGGAAAATAGAGGCCTGAAGTACAACTCCCAAAAGGCAGGGGTGTGCACAAGAGGGTCAAGCAGGGGCACGCCTCCCCCCCCGCCCTCCAATCATCGGAGGCACAGAACTCTTCCAGGCCCAGGCCACGGTGGCAGGGAGAGTGAGATCCTCCTAGCCCCGGGGCTGTGGGGAGGACAGCGAGCTCCTGCCAGAGCCGGGGGAGTGGGGATACAGACCGTGCCCCCGCAAAAAGGGTCAAAGTTAAATTTCTGCGCATGCCCCTGCCAGAAGGCAATGCGCTGATAAGGAACTGCAGCTTAATGTTGAACTTGCTTGAAATGAAGCATTTTGGGTAAATTCAAGAAACTAAAATCCTAGAATCAGAAATGTCGGGCTGAAAGGGATCTTGAGAGGTCATCTAACCCTCTGCGCTGAGGCTGGACCAAATACACCTGTCAGGGACAGTCTAGGTTTATGTCCAACCTGGGTGTGAACACCTCCAATGACAGGAACTCCACGACCTCCTGAGTTAATCTGTTCCAGAGCTTAACTGTCCTTACAATTAGAAAGTTTTATCTTCCTTGCTGCAGATTAAGCCCATTACTTCTTGTTCTGTCTTCAGTGAACATGGAGAACATTTGATCACTGTCCTCTTTAGAACAGCCCTTAACATATTGGAAGACAGTTATCATGTCCCCCCTTCAGCTTCATCTTTTCTAGACCAGTTCTTTCCGCCTTTCCTCCCAAGGTCCGCTGTTCTAAACCTCTGATCAAATTTTTGTTCTTGTTTCCCTCCTCTGGCTGCTCTCCAGTTTGTTCACATGGAAGGAAATGTTTCAATCTATTCACATCTCAGCATGCTTCATTTCGATTGAAAATGTTGCAATGAAACGTTTTGACATTTCTGAGTCAAACCTGCCTTTGGAATTTCCATTCTGCCAAAAATGATGAAATATGAACTTTTCTTCAAAAACAAAGATTGAAATGTTGCCATTTCCTGCGGGACGGGAACGTGGACTCTCCCTCAGCTCCAGTGAGACCCTGGCCCTATGAATGTCAAAGGCAAAGCTCCCATCCACACGGAGGGGGCTAGGATTTCACCCAGGGTCCTGTCCGTTGGGTAGCCTCGGGTTGAGTTCACCTGAAGACCCTCCAGGGAAGGCGAACAGTAGAAATGCTCATAAAACGTGGGCGTGGGGCTTTTCTCCATTTTCAGCGTTTTCCCTGAAACATGTCAAGTATCAAAGCCGAAACATTTCTGGTCATAGTGCATCATGGGAGTTGTAATTTGGGTGCCTCATGCCCCTATTCCTTGTTGTGGGAACACAGCACTGGGAGGCTCCTACTGGGACATGGAGTCCAGTTCTCGCTATCCCATTGTATCATCCCATCCATAAACTTATCAGGCTCCATCTGTATCCTGCTTAGGTTGTTCCCCTCCCACCCCAACTGCTCCCATTGGAGGTTGTTCCAGAACCTCCCCCCTCTGATGGTTACAAACCTTCTCCTCCATTGATTCCTGCCCCATTTATCCCCATTTGATTTGTCCTTTAGCTTCAACAGCTCGTCTCCCTCCCTGGTGTTCTCCCCGCTCCCCCCATGATATATTTATAGAGCAATCAGACCCCACTCAGCCTGTGGTTTAGGCTAATCTAGCCCAGGTGTTTAATTCCCCTCTCGTGAGACCAGCTCTCCATTTCCCCGATTGTCCCACCAGCCCTTCTTGGCACCTGCTCCAGCCGGGATCCCTCTTTCTGGGACAGGGCTGCCCAGAACTCTGCACCGGATTCCAGCTGAGCTCTGCCCGGTGCCTTCTCCACTGGCATTAATATGTCCCTCTCTCTACTGGAGACACCTGAACTGTTCCATCCCAGGATCACATGGGCCTTTCTCCTGCCCACATCCCATCTGTGGCCCATGGACACTGTGCAATCCACTGACACACCCAAGTCTCCCTCCTCCTCTGTCACTTCCTGCTGATGAGCCCCCGGCTCAGAGCAGCAATTTTCTTGTTTCTTATCCCTATGTGCATGAGCCCATGTTAAATTTCATCCCGTTTCCACCAACGCCTTGCACAAGGGCACTAACACCGGAGATACCTCTCTGGAGACGTCCTAGATGCTGGGCTCCCTGGCTAGGCTGCATCTCCCATGATGCACCAGGGGCTCCCCTCTTGAGGCAGTACTGCAAGGGAGGGGCACGGCCGTGGTGGTTTCCATCAGCTCCTTGCCCTGGAGCAGCTTGTGGCTGGTGGCTCTGGGGGGGGGGGGGGGGGATATTTACCTGGAACGCTGATTTCATGGGGGTTGCTGGCGCACGGCATGGTGGTGGGGTCATAATTAGGGTTGCGAGCCCTCCAGGATTGTCCTGGAGTCACCAGAAATTAAAGATTAATCTTGAATTAAAGATTATATCAGAAGATGAAACCTCCAGAAATATGTCCAACCAAAATTGGCAGCCCTAATTGTAATGCCGGCACCGCTTTCTGCATGTGCCGTCCCTCACCGCCTCCTGCAGCCTGTCGGTGGTGGCATTCGCTCCAGTCGGACCCCACCTGGCCACGCTGCACTTGGAGCCCAGCCTGACAGGATGCTCAGCCTCCAGCAGGGGGATGGGCCCCACCCACTCGGTCAGCGCTGCACCATGCCACATCTGCCCCGGGCGAGAGAGAGAATGGACCTGGATCAGCCCAGGGATCGGAGCTGGTGTGAGGCAGCACCACCCGGGCAGAGCGTGGACGTGAGTCCATGGAGGGTAACTAGGTAGACCGAGGCCTGCATGCCTGCACAGGTCACATCCAATATGTCTAAGCCCCCCAGTCCTTGCCCTCTGGTTTAGGAAACCCACTAACACATTGCATGTTCTCTCTATCCCCTCTCCCATGTTGGACACATCCCCATGCATCTTCCAAGACCTCCCTCTGCCCCTATTTTAAAGCACAGATCAGCTCCTTTGGAAGGAGTCCCTACAAGGCCTGGTGAGAGGCCTTGGTTTCTGTTGTCTCTTGGAGACTTAGAGTGGATAGAGTGGGAGGAATGAGGGTTGCCACAAGAGGAATGGGGAACGCTGGCACTAGGGGAAGGAATCCCAGGATCCAGAGTCAGGGAAAGAAGTGGATGGAAGCAGGTAACCTGTTCCTATTGTTGAAGCTGAGTGGATTCTCTGAGCTGGTTTCCTTTGGGATTTTCTATGGTTCAGGCTTTCAGCTTCCCCAGCAGAAATCTTCTGCAGTAAAAACCATTCTTGTCTAAGCGCCGACTGCCTTCTGCTTAATGCGTCCAACATGCAGCAATACTCAGCAGTGTCTTCAGGTCTACGGTTAGTCATGTGCAAATACAGCAGGTTGTTGGGACTGTCCCTGGAGATGGTGAATTGGCCTTTCACTGAAGCAGTGTAATTTTGTGTACCTCCGGCCCAATGATTAATGGTTGAGAGCCACTCCAGTCCCTTTCCAGGCATGTTTCTGTACCAGGTCATCCCATAAACACCTAAACTGAATCCAGAGGTTTTGCAGGAAATCCGGAGAGAGTCCCTCAGCATTTTAACTTCTCCATCAGATGCCACAAGTTCAAATTGTGACTGGATCCCTGGATAGTAAAAAGGAGACATTAAGACTTCTCTAAGAATACTTGGGCATCTCTCATGGCTGCAGGAATTAAATTACAGGTATATGTGAGAACCACTAGAAAGGATGCAATAATGAGCCATAACAGCATCTCTCTGATTCTGAGGAGAGCTCACTTGGGAATTTGCTGTTAATTGCACAGTCACAGAGCGATGCAGGTTGTCTCGATTTTCTCTCCAAGAGCTGCATCATCAGGAGAATCACTGGCTTTAAACAGGAAATTCAGTTATGCATTTTGCACACATCCTGTTTTAGAAGAGTCAGATGAACTCCAGCCTAGAATTGGCTGCATTTTAAATACCATGGTGTTCCTTGACTGAAGGCAAACAATAATTCATGGAGTTAACAGGTGGGCCCATCTTCACATGGGATGACTACTTTGCCTTATGTTGAATCCTGCTACCATTCCCTTTTTTTTGTCTGTTCAACATGTAAGCTGCTTGGGACAAGGACTATCTCTTACTGTGAGTCACACTGTGTTCCTTTTACATTTGGTAGTTCTTTATCACAAAAGTTTATCAACAAAAATGATGAGGGGGATGGAACAGCTGCCATATGAGAAGAGATTAATAAGACTGGGACATTTCAGCTTGGAAAAGAGACGACTAAGTGGGGATCTGATAGAGGGCTATAAAATCATGACTGGTGAGGAGAAAGTAAATAAGGAAGTGTTATTTACTCCTTCTCATAACACAAGAACTAGGTGTAACCATGTCTTAGTGGGGCACAACTGAGGATGCCAAATTCAGGATGAACTGCTGAGAAATAAGGCCAACACAACCCAAAACTGGTGGTTATTCTTTTATAAGATAGACCAGACCAGCCACAAAAGTAAACTGTTTCACCGCACTGGCTAACAAGAAAACATAAAGGCTGTTTCCTCAGGCATTCTAGTTCTTCTATCACCACCAGAACCGCTGGATTCAGAGATGAGTGGTTCTTTACAACCAGTCTCATCAAATAATAGGTTCTTCTGATCCCAAAGTACCAGCCACACACCCAGGTCAATCTATAACTTAGATCTTATAAAAAAATCACGCTGATGAGAATCCTTTAGAATCCTTTAGTTTCTAAAATCTAAAGGTTTATTTATAAAAAGAAAGAAAGAAAGGTGAGA